CATTTAGAAACCGGTGATCTGAGCGCCATCTTCAGTACGTTCCATTGAGCTCATCCGGGTGACCGCCGAGGCGATGCTCCGCCCACTGCGCGCACATCCGGGGCGGGTTTCACCAATCAGCGACGCTCATCGTCTGTGACGTCAAGGGGCATTCGCTGTTCTGCCAATGAACGGCCGGCTTACGGAATGTGGGCGGAGCTCCGCCGGCCATGGGAATTTGGAGGCGCCCGGTTTGAGTCACTTGGCTTCGGACTCTAAGCAACGAGCACCGGACAGCAGTGGGCTCCGAGAGCCATCAGAGCAGACGGCAGCAGCAGCAGAGGAGAAAGATCACTACCGTCATCCACCGCCACCCGTCTGGAGACTGCAGAGAAAGGCGTCGCACCACCGTCACCCGCCGCTTTTCACCTTCACAAGGTAGGTCCGGGCTATTTGCACCGGCGCGGTGATTACTTTATCAAATACCGTTTTTACCTAAAATTAACCTCAATATCACCTAATATGTCCTGAAATGTTAGAAATACGGGCATAGATATTAGAACTTAGAGTTATATCAGTAGTGTCACCACATGATCGATCAGCTCATAGAGTGTCAAAGTGTAGGTACCTAATTTCAGTAGTGGCGGAACACCTTCAGTTAAGGGGGGGGGGGGCACCGCTGACTTTTGGTCGCATTCTTTCCATGCAACGCCCATAGGGCTAATGTTAAAATGCCAAAATCAAAGGGGGGTAGTGGGCACGGCGCGGTGCCCCGGTGCCCTCCCCGTTCAGCCGCCTGTGCCTAATTTCTGCCATAGGTAACATGGTTGTCGTTTTGTATAGGATTAATAGGGCCCGAGGAACCCTACCAATAATTTCGGAATTCTATGGCGCTGCATGGTAAGAAAGAATATCTTTGGTATTCTAAAATAAACCATTAGGTAAAGCCCCACCAACAAATTTCGGAAATTGGCGCCCGTTAAGTAGGTATCTACCTATTTTATTTTTCTTAACCCTATTACTGGTGGGGGGTGGGGCCGATTCGGCCCCCACCTGCAGTTTTTTCCTCTCGACGGAAAACCACTTACGCTAGGGGCTCGAAATTTGGTGACTTTTCCTTGCTATTCATGGAGCACATTGTATATTTTTTGAGTTTCTAGCTTGCGCAGAGGCGTCTCCAGGACGAGTTTCTCGGGGGTAGTTTTGGTCCAGCTTTAACTATTTCCGACATTTACCGCTAAGGCAGCGACTTGCTTAGCTTTTTTCTCGATAGGCGTTATCACAAGTGCATTCGCAGCCATTGGGGTGACGTAAGAAAAGAAGAAAACATCTGGCCCCAAGAACTTTGAATTATCAGTCAGCATGCAAATTTTCCCTGATGTGTGGAGAATCTACGATTAATTTTTAGAGAAAATTGCTTTTAAAATTTTCATATTGTGTTTTTCCATCGTTTGAACAATATATTATTTTACTAAGCTAGAAACACTGATTATAAATAGTTCCAGCATCATCGTCAAGAACAATAAGGAAGGCTTGAAGTGAATACAATAATCTAAACGGTTTTGTAAGATGAAAAGATCACTTCTAAAATTGCATGTAGAAATATTGAAGGCAAAAGTTCACCTTTTTCACAAGACGGATGTCTATAAACCTAATCAACGTGTGACAACTCAGACGATATTTCGTCGCCTACAGCCCAGCTTTCCCTAGTGACCGATAGAGGCGCTGCTATCGATGTCCGCCCGTACCGCCTAATGTGGTGATCAGTGGCACAACTCGTCATATGTATGCACATATAGACTATGTGACGTCATTTTACAATGACAATATTGGAATAGGTTGATCCAGGTACCTCATACCTGAGAAAGGGGGGAGGGGTAATATCAATGTACTGCCCCCCGTATAAGCGTGCCTGAATCCGCCTATGCTTAACAAAAACGTGTATTTTGTGCCCACGTTGCATATTTTACATGATATATGACACATGTCATAAGACACATGACATACCTACCTACTTACCATGACAAAAACTCAAAACATCATCCCAAGTTAGCTTACCTGAATCTGCTTATGATATTTGAAATATCCAAAATACCGGAATATATAGGCATATGAAGGTCCAGTGCATGAAGAAGGTTTCCCTAAATTCTCATCAAAATCGGAAAAAAACAAAGAAGTTATAGCATTTTTAGTGAAACTGATGAAGTGAAAAACGCATTTTGTCGAAGATTTTGCTTCCAGTACCCCTAATTTTTACCTATTTTACTTTTTATACAAAGTTAACGATGAGAGCAATCAAATGGCGTTTGTCTCATCAAGATCGGACGTTTAGTTTTCGAGTAATCAAGGGGGGGGCCGAATCGCCCCCCCCCCCCGGTCCCCTCCAGTTAACGTCCAGAAAGCCCACCAGTAATAGGGTTAAAGGGACCCTCCCACCTTCAAAAAAGTTTATGAATTGGCATGAAAGTGATGTCGCTCGGTTCAGAAAGAGCGAAAACAAATATCTACCAAATTTCACCGAAAAATATTCACCGGTTTTCAAGATATAAGACTTTTACTTTTGTTTACTTTTTTGGGATCTCCGCTGTTTCTAGCGACTTTATTTTAGAAGTGCGGCGTTTGCGGCAGATGTTGCGCGCAAATAGCATATACCACCGCGTGCTACAAAACGTTTTAGTCAAACATTTAAAAATCGTTAGATATTTGCGCTGACGTCACACATTCAGAGGGGTATTCCTAAGCATTAGCCCCTCTGAATCAAAATGCTGCAATTTTGAAATTCAATATTTCCGATTTAAGGCATTTCTCGATGTTGTGAGTGCCGAAACCGGTAATTGTGAGCCAGGGACCCCATTTTGGCTATCTCAACTCAAATCTAATGTTAAAGGGACCCTCCCACCTTCAAAAAAGTTTATGAATTGGCATGAAAGTGATGTCGCTCGGTTCAGAAAGAGCGAAAACGAATATCTACCAAATTTCACCGAAAAATATTCACCGGTTTTCAAGATATTAGACTTTTACTTTTGTTTACTTTTTGGGATCTCCGCTGTTTCTAGCGACTTTATTTTAGAAGTGCGGCGTTTGCGGCAGATGTTGCGCGCAAATAGCATATACCACCGCGTGCTACAAAACGTTTTAGTCAAACTTAATGACGGACGTTCGAAAGCCTGATGACGTCATCAGATTCCCGTAATGGTTAAGAGATAGGGACCAAGCTGGTCCCACCCTGCAAGTAAAGGGAAGAAATTTCTTGAATACCATAAAGCTGCGGGGGTTGCGACCAGGATAAATGGTGGTTTCTGAGCCTGGCCGCAAACTTGGCTATCTCAACTCAAAACTAATGTTAAGGTGGGAGGGTCCCTTTAAGGTGGGAGGGTCCCTTTAAATCAAAATTTATGGTTATTCAGCTAGTGCAAGTTTGGAATCAAAAGTTATTGCAGAAATAAACGTTTCCGAAAAATATCAATTTAGGCAGTTTTGCCTCTGCAGGCTTCGGTCGAATCGGAGAATATTAGGTAGGTATACAGAAAGAAGTGACCAGGGGTGTGGAGCCAGAGCCGGAGCTGGAGTCGGAGCCGCCGGAGCCGGCTGCCCGGCACATTTCGCCCGGAGCCGGAGCCGTGAAACAATATAGCCCGGAGCCAGGGCCGAAGTCGGAGCCGTCAAAGAAAGACTACGGTCTACGGCCACTAAACTCTTTACTCTATAATGACTAGGGCTCTTTTTTGAAGAGTAAAAAAAAAAATTGACATAGTTCCACATGTTTTACAAGGCAGTAAAACATGTGGTACGTCATGGGCCATCACGTGAATGAAAAAGCTGATACGTACCTATCCCCATTGTCCCACAGTACCTACGCAATCAACCTCCTGTCTGCTCCTCTCTCCCCACGTCACGTCTATAGGTACTGCATTCCCAGAACCTGAGGACCGGTCATCAGGTGACGGTCGTTGTTTTGGCGTGGTTTTGGCAACCCGTATTATTGATCGCATAGGGGATGTACTGAGTCGGAGCCGGAGCCAGACTATTTTACTCGCAGCCGGAGCCGGAGTCGGAGCCGCCATAACATTTCACCCAGAACCGGGGCCGGAGCCATCTGAAATTTCCAAAGCTCCGCATCCCTGGAAAGTTTATCGGAAATCATCAAAACAAGCGAACTTTGACCTTGATGACCTCTGATGACCTAATGTTTGTCCTGACATAAAAAATGACTAATGCAATTTTGAAATAACGTTTGATGCTCTTACGAACGCCTCCCATCGCGCGTCGCTTCTTGGCCCAAGACAAAGAGCCTAAAGAACAGAAGTCTGGAGCCTCCAGACTCTCCAGACTCTTTAGTGCCCTGGTCTGGAGATACGATTATTGTAGATGGCGCTGCGTACGGTTACTGCTGCAGATGACGCTGTCAGCGACATAAAGGCTGGCATGCAACGTCTTCCTTAGACGGCGCTGACAGCTGATACTACTCTTCGAAGGGCGTATCTCTAAACAGCGTTTTATCATACCCGAACCTAGACCCACCAGCTCCAGTCGATGGCTTTTCAGCATCCCGTGAAATACAGGGATTCGGTGGCGCTACTAAATTGTCCCTTACGTTCTCACTTCTCATTATTTCTCGCAATTTTTTAATATACTATCTAACATCTTATTTTCAACACGAGGATGAAACTCATTGAGATTTAGTTCAGGGTAGTTCTAATGCCAAAATCAACCGCAGCCAAGCTCTGAGGCGAGCCCGGTCCAAGTGGCAGTGGCAGTGCTGAAAACGGGAAGTTGGAGGTGAGACCAGAGTATAAATCAGTGATCCAATCCTGACGATGCTGGCTCTCTACGGCTCCAGCGGTTGAGAGCCAGGCTCTCTACGCTGGTGTGTCGAACGAAGGTGCTTAAGAACTGGTATGTCATATGAAGTTGCTTAAAAACCTGGTGGTCCGTACGGAAATTGCCTAAAAAATATACCTACACTACTACGCCGCGCGCCCCAATCACGTCAGGCTTCTCGCTTAAATAATGCACCTGCATTTGATGGCAATAGCACTTTTCATTCATCGAAATGGCATGAGCGTAGCGAGATACATTCATGAACACAATGTTAACACCTGAATATGGCCGTCCGAACGGACGACCCCCGATCGAGACAGGCAGTCCACAGAACTGCCAGTGTCTGTAACTTCCACCCAGACAGGCAGTTCAGTGAAACGGCCAAGGGACAATCCGAGACGCTGTGTGGTCTCCCGTATCACAGGCTCACGCCGCATCACATCCTGATCCTGTACCACGGCTCATCACGCCGCCGTGGTATCACGGCATACCGTGTCCGATGAGGTATCAAGCCGCCGGTCACCTCCAGTTTTGGCTACATCACCGTCCGATTACGGTCTCGTACTCCGTCACTAGACAGCAGCTCGCCAAGACAAGACACCAAACAGCTCACAGGCTCCACGATTACTTAGTATCGTCCAGCTCCAAACTCATATCGTCACTGGAGTCCATGAGCCTGAGGCTGGTACAGAGGCCCGCGCTGCCGCTGCCGCCCCCTGTTACCCCGCTACCGCCGGCCGCCGCTGCCGCCGGTGTTACTACTGGGGTCACAGGCGTCGGCGAGCCCCGCTCAGTGATCGGCACCAGCAGCGCGGTGGGCGAGTCTAGCACGGCCTGAGAGCTGAGCAGCTGCTCCAGCACACTGCCCAGCATCTGGGTGCTGAAAGCATCGTCCCGCTTCAGACTGAGCGCCTTGTGGAAGGCGTCCACCGCGCGCGCCGGTTCGTCCATCAGAGCGTGCGTGTAGCCAATAGCGGCGTACGTGCTGGCGCTTTGTGGCTCCAGCACCAGTGCGCGCTCGTGCGCCTCCAGGGCCTCCGAGTAGCGGCCCAGTTTGCGGTAGGTGTGTCCGAGGTTGTTGAGCAGCGGCTCCCAGCGGTCGGCAGCTACCGTATGAGACTCGTGCTGGACCTGCTCCAGCGCCGCCGTCAGCAGCCGCTCGGCCCCGGCGTAGTCACGGCTGGCGAACAGGATCGTACCCAGCTCGTGCATGACGAACGGGTCGCGCGGCGCGATGGCCAGCGCCTGGCTGAAGAACTGCTGCGCCAGCCGGGCGTTGTTGGTGAGTCCGTACTCTAGGCCGACGTAGAGCAGGGGTAGGTGACAGCCACGCATCAGTTGTGAGCCGCGGAAGTACGCCGATATCGCCTGGTCGTGCTCGTTCTCCAGGGCAAAGCTGTGGCCGTACGCGAGCCAGGCGGGCCCGAACACGGGGTCCAGAGTGGTGGCTTTACTGAGATAACGCCGCGCCGGCTCCATCTTACCCACGGAGTAGTAGTAGCAGCCGACGGCGAACCAGGCGAGCGCCCGCTCCGGGTAGGCGTCCACCAGTCGGTGCGCCAGCTGGAACAGCGCGTTGGTGCGCCGACGCTCAAGCAGACACACTAGGTGGATGGGCAGGCAGCGCGCGTGGTCGGGGTCGCGCTCCAGCACACGGCTGGTCAGTTTGAAACACTGCGCGTAGTCACAGTTGTAGTAGAGCTGCTCGGCGCGACACACCAGCACGTCATTGTTTTCGGTTAGCGGCGGCGGCACCTCCGGGTCGTCCGCCTCGCCGGGCGCGGTGTACTTTTTCAGCTGCAGCTGGTACAGCTGCCGCACGGCGGCTGCGTCGGCGGCCGGCAGCTGTTGCTCGAACGGCAGCTCCTCCAGCAGCTTCTGCTCCTCGTCCAGCGTCAGCATCTGGTGGCCGACCAGGGCCTCGTGGCACAGCACGTCGGCCATCAGCGCGGCGCGGTAGCACTCGGCGGCCAGCGGCCGGTTCTCCAGCGCCTCGTGCACGCGGCCCTTGAGCAGCAGGATGTGCGCCGGCTCGTCACGGCCGGCCACGTCCGTGATATCGAGCAGAGGCGGCGCGGCGCGCCCGCCCGGCGCTGTCTCCAGCTCGGGCTGCAGCACGGCCAGCGCCTCCTGGTACAGGCGCGTCTCGTACAGGCCGCGCGCCGCCAGGTAGCGGCACTCGTCGTCGCCGCGGAGCCGGCCAGAGCGGCGCAGCAGCTGCACGGCCCGCTGCGGCTGAGAGGTGAGCAGGTAGCAGTGTGCCAGCGTCACCAGATCCTGCGGCGCGTCGGCCGACAGCGAGCACACCTTGTCGGCCCAGTAACAGGCGGCGTCCAGCAGGTGGGAGCGCAGGTAGCGCTGCACCACGGCCCTCAGCGCCTCTACGTCCATCGTAGCAGCTGAGCCGGCGACTGGCACAGTGGCTTGCAGAGTACCTGAGGGAAAACGCATACATTAAATACAGGAAAGTATGTCTATCATCTAGAAAATTCACAACAACAAAAGACAATGGTTGGGTTTACTGAAACATGCAGAATCTTATTAAATACCTCTTGTTGCTAATGAGCATGACCCTAACCACGACATGCCAAGCAACAATGCATAATTCTTGGGTCACTAGGCAGTTTGTCATGCATGTGGGCTTAAAAATTGCTCAAGAGCCTCCTTATTTCAATACCTGGGCATAAGTGAGACTTAACCCTCGCCCGTATTGGTGTTTTGCAAACCGAGAAGGTATAAGGGGGTGGGCGTTGGACCTCCCCCTCCCCCCCCCCCACACTTCCCGTTTGGCCCCTGATCGAGCTAGAGCTTCGCAGAAAAAAAACGAGCAGTGTTGCCCGTAACGTGAGGAGGCCGATGATACCCAAGTTTAAGGTCCTAGGTCATTGGTTGAGCTTCCAAGTCAGGTCAATGACCCAAAAGTCGGGAAAATCGGGACCTGTTAGAACGTCGTAAAGTGTGGCTGCTGTGGTTTTTTCGGGGTGCTGATCACGAATATCATGTTAGTTTTGATCACAGATGATGTCTTCATGCATTTAGGCCAGGTCGGGTCAGGTCAGGTCAGGTCAACCAGTAGGAGTCCTGCCGGGTATTCGTAGTTGGTGTCAACCGCCTCGGACAGCTTCGTAACATGTTAGGAAAATGACCCTTCGTAAGGTAAAACTACTTCGTAAATATTCAAATGGTTGCTAAATTCGAATTCAGCTCCAAAAAACTAGCCTGGAAACATGTAAAACTCGGAAAAGTGAACCGAGGCCATCAAAGGCCAATGGCCTGACCTGACCTTCAGGTGACCTTGACACTCACCCTAATGCATTGGACCACCATTACATCCATGTTTGAACGCTTGAAACCACGAAAAGACTGCAAACGCGCGGCTAATGCGAGCCGACATGCGCTGAATCGCGATTCCGGCCAAACATGGTCTCGAAAAGTAGGTATGTCACAGGTCAAAGGTCATTTGCATCAGGGTCATGTACATAGGTGGAACTTTGTGCCGAGCTGGGAGGGCCCGAGCTCTCCAAATTCGACGCCGGTTTGGCTTTGGAGCCGCAACAGACCGCGGAGGTCAAGGTCACCGCTAGGGCGGCGGCGGATTTGCTACGCGAGCGGCCGGCCGGCCGTGCGGATGCTTTTGCGAGGCTTATATCTCAGCAGCCACTTGACGGATTTACACGCGGTAATTTTTGTAGGGTAGCTTCGTTCCTTCTACCAAGTATTGGACTATTCCCATTTCCCAATGCATGTGGGTGACCCCTTATGCACGTGCCACGTGCAAAAAGAAGAGGGGTCAGTTTAGTAACAATTGCAATATCTCGGTAACTACCGTAAAATGGGGTGTTAAGGGACAGTGGGGTGTTAAGGGACAGTTGCATGGGAAAAACTTTGAGTCATATTAACTTCCTAATTTGAGAAGGTTCAATAAAAACTTCAGTGTGGTAGTTGACACTGTTTTGCTCTTGACCATAGGAGAAAATGGTATGGTTTTTCATGCAAGTGATTTGGTTCAAAAATGTATTTGAAAATCATGCTACATTTTCACAAAATTGAAACATCTCCAAAACTCTGTGTGTACCACATAAACTAGTGGGTGTGCAGGGAAAATGAATGCATAGGTGTATTGTCACATGTATTGCACATGTTTCCTGAAAAACTTGTGCAAATCCACCCATTCATTCATCATCCTCTTCCTCTTTTCCGGATACATGCATATTTTGAGGTGGATGTGGGGTGCTAAGGAACAGGGAATAAAAAATAAAAAATAATATCTAAATATAATTTAATTAAGTAGGCATGGAAAACACCAAATTCCACATAAAATGCTGGCAAGTTCATGCTTTTATCTCTAACACATCTTAAGTTATGTAACAAAACATCTCAACACTCTTTTACAATGATGGGTCAATGGAGACTGATGTAAGTAAATGTGATGTCATCATAAAAGGGCTAAAACAAAGAGGGCAACATAATGACAAGTGACAAGCTTCAACATGGGTTTTTATTGATGACAGAAGATTACTTTTTGGTTCTGTTTACCTAATAATTAGCACATTTTCCACAAGCGTAAACTGCATTACACGTAATTGGCTAAAAAGGTCATTAGTGGTGAATGAACCTGACTTGTTTTGTGACAGAATATGCCAAACATTTCAATAAATAAATTGTGTGCCCTTCCACACCCCAATTGTGGGCATTTGATGACCATTTCTTGGAATACTATAGGTGTCCCTTAACACCCCACATTGGGGTGCTAAGGGACAGTGATGAAAAATAATAAAAAATATTATGCAAGTATAAATCTTAAAAACTTTAATGTGGCAGGCATGTAAAGCACCAAATTCCACATAAAATGCTGACAATGTGATGCTTCTATCTCCAACCCTTCTTGAGTTATATAACAAAACACCTCAAAACTGTCCCTTAACACCCCGTTTTACGGTACTGGGCTGATTGCCCTGAAAGTTGGCATGTAGGTAGGCACCCACTAGGCAATGCATATCTATGTAGGTACCACAGGGGGGGGGGGGGGGGTGCTGTTGCACGTGTGTACAGTCCACAGCAGAAGTAATGTGGGGTTTCAGTCATGGGTATGTTCTGCTTCTGAAGCTTAGGAAGTAATAGGAACGATCAACCAGACTACAATGAAACTTTGAATGTAGCTTATATGTATCGTCACCCTTGCAGCAGCTGCTACCTTAGCTATTGACATCTCCTTTTCGATCACTCCGCATTAAACAATCACCAGTCAAAGCCAACCGTTGAGATTGGTAAAACCCTACATTACTTTAGTGGTGGCTGTACGTGTAGGGGTCGATTCCAGATCTTGAAAACGGCTGAAGTGATTGCGCTGAAATTTGGTATATGGTTAGGAAACGGTTAGTAGGGTGTCATGCAAAAGTCAGTTGGGACCAGTTGGGAGTTGGGACCCATTTCGCACATTCACACGTGCAGGGTGCCGCTTCCAGATCTCTAGAACGACTGGGCCGATTGTGCTCAAATTTGGCACATTGCAAGGGACCGGTTAGTAGGATGCAGTGCACAAGTTAGTTGGAGGTAGCCCCTCACAATTTTCACACGTGCACGGCCCACCCTCTTGCGGTCTTGGTCGCCCCAAAACAAAAAGGCGTTTTACTGGTATATAGCCTTGGATGGTGCAACCGAGACGTTACGAGATAGGCGAACACAATATACACAACAAGCGCAATACAACACAATAAATCTCAGTATACCACACAAAATATGATGGACTATAAATAGCGTCGTAATTACAAAACAAAAATTTGAATTTACATCAACCCCGCGAATAGCGTAAGAGGAACAATTGCGTTCGTTATCATAAAAAGTCGTCAAAAAATTGCGATACTGGGAAAATGTCCCGAAATAAAGATTCAAAATAAAACTTGAGATGCAGACGGAAATATTTTCATTGACTGGTCAAACATTTTTTTAGTTGGCATCAATTGCTTATTTTGAAAAGTAGCATTTGGATTTTATCTGATGCTATGCTTAATGCTGTAGCCTGTAAGACAAAAGCGTAAGCAAAAAAGCGCTATCTTTTGATTATTTCTCTGGATTCTAGAGCTTTGCGATTTTTCATACAAAACTCTCAACACTCATAGGGTTTGTTCCCGTCGCTCCTCTAACCTCCTCCAAGCTCCTCTAACCTCCTCTCGTTTCAAATTTTTTTTTCCTAAATAGTCCGTCACCCATGAACAGATGACCAGGAGTGCCCCCACCGCAGTCCCAGCGACTCACAGAACCTTACGTTAACACCAGACAAAACATAAGAGTATGTACTAGTCGCGGCACTCCCTGCTAAGAAGGTGAAATAAACAAAAGGCAAAATTACTATCTAGCATGCAAAAGAGAGAAGTAGTCACGCCAAATCCAGCAAATGACTGTCCGCTATACCGATACTACCAGTACCCCATAGTATGATAAAGCACCATGCAGAACAGAATCGGATGCAGGAAGAAGGCAGGGAGAGGAGCATGCAGTTTAACATGCAAACATACAAGACCATACTCAGTTCATGCAAACAAACACGCAACACCCACACCCACACCCACTCACAGACACTCACACACTCATGCTGGGCAGAGGCAAGGGCTGGTCAGGTTCGTGCATAGTCAGTCTGCCGTCATCCGGTGCTCATCCACTAAGCAGAGCTTGTTGTGGAATGGGCACCAGAAGACGGCATGTTGCGGGTGAGATTGGTAACATCACGGTACATAGAGAACTGTAACATACAATCTAGGTTAAGTACAGGTCTAAGGCAGTGATAATAAGATCTTGATCGAACGTTGTAGGATAGTAAACTTTTATATGTAGAGACAAATAATATCAATGACAGTTATAGGGGTGTATGCAGGAAGTAATGCTTTGTAAACTTTTTCAAATTGTCTTTGGACAATTCACAGGCAGAATCAAGAGTAAAATCAGGAGCAATTATAGCATTCCAGATTCTTGGCCCAATCCACTTACTTACACGAGTCCGGTAAAGTTTTTCAGAGAAAGGTTCAAAAAAGTGATTTCTGCTTCTGGTTGTTATGGTGGGTGAATTTATAAAGATGAAGAGATCTTCAAATTTCTCAGGTAAATTACACAAGAGTTTCTTGTGCATGAACACAAGCAGCTGTTGTTTCGCTATGGCGTCTACCTTTAAAATTTTTAGGTTTTTAAAGAGATGTTCTGTGTGAGCCAACCGATGTTGTTGTGCAACGATGCGCACAGCTCTTTTTTGCAGGAGTTCGATCTTCCTCAAGTAGGTAGGAAAAGTGAATCCCCATACGAGGCAACAGTAATTGAGATAGGGCAGGATGAGTGTATTGTATAGAAGTTTCAGTGAATTAGTGTCAAGGAAAAATTTGGACCTATTTAGCATGCCAATGTTACGACTGATGATGGAACTCAAGTGATTTATATGATAACTCCAATTTAGGTGAGGGTCAATAATCACACCAAGATATTTTACTTTTTCTTCAGCAGGAATATCATCATTGTTCAAAGTAACATTTATTTTGGCATTGGTATGTGATTTGCTATAAAGTTGATAAACGGTTTTCTTTGTATTTAATGAGAGTTTGTTTGCTTTCAACCACTCACATAAGGTGGGAAGTTGTGCGTCAAGGTCATTTTGTAGGTTTGCAGTATTTGTATTATCAAATATCACAACTGTGTCATCAGCAAACAGAAGAAATTTGGCGTTATTACAGACATTTGGCAAATCATTAATATAAAGTAAAAACAAAAGCGGTCCAAGTACTGAGCCTTGAGGAACTCCCATTTCGATTGGCATAAATTCTGAACTTACTCCATCGTACTCTACTTGTTGCTGCCGACCAGTGAGATAAGAATGTATAAGTTTTAAAGCAACATCTTGAATACCATACAGTTTTAATTTAGCTATTAGTATGTCGGGATCAACAGTATCAAATGCTTTTTTGAAGTCTAAATAGATGGCTATTGCAATTTTCCCTTGTTCAAATACATTGGTTATGTGCTCTTGTAAAAGCAACAAAGGCATATAAGTGGCCAGCCCTTTTTGAAACCCAAACTGACTGCTGTTGAGGATTTTGTTTTGTGTAAGAAAGTGCATAATCCTTTTGTGTAAGATTTTTTCCAGTATTTTTGAAATATATGGTAATATACTAATGGGTCTATAATTGTTCATGTGACATTTCTTCCCACCTTTGTGAATAGGTTTAATAATTGCACATTTCATATTGTACGGAAATATTCCTTTAGTCAAACACAGGTTAACAAGGTGTACTAAGTGATTTAGTATTGGTAAATAGCTTTTCTTGAAGATGCTAGCATTTATATTGTCCAAGCCAGCTCCAACATTTTTTGTTTCTTTAATTATTTGATTCAGATTTCAGCTCATCCGTGTTAGTAAGAGGTTCCCAAGACTTCATGGTTCTGGTTACATTAGCTTTAACATTACCACATGGATTCACATTATTTTTTGGAATAGCATTTTGCAAATCCCTTCCAATAGATGTAAAGAACTGATTAAATGTTTCTACAATGTCTTTTTTGTCATGCAAAATGTTACCACTTTCATCTACAAACTGTTTTTGAATGTTAGTTTTATGTAATCTGCCTTTGGTTAGTTCATGGAGAAGGTTCCAAGTTTTCTTGGAATCAAATCGTTCCCGTCGCTCCTCCAAGCTCCTCCAAGCTCATCTTGATTTCACATCTCACCACCACTATTTGCCTCCTCCCTCATCCCAAACGAAAGTTGGTTTTTTGGAGGAGGCTCTTGCGTAGACATATTTGACGCACGTAATACAAATGTGAGTTGTTTATAAATGAGATTTGAGGGAAGTGACAGGAGGCTCAACTCTTCCCGAGGCACAATCCGTGCCTATGACCTGGAGGACCTGAGCGAGGACGAGATTGTCGGCTGGTTGAGTGACCATGGCGTCACTGGTGCCAAGAGATTCACTCGTAAGGTCAATGGTAAAGTAGTACCTACAGCGACTGTACTCCTGACTTTTGATAAGCCGACGTGTCCCTCTAAAATGAAACTGGATTATGTGACATACCACATTACCAGACATGTGCCTAACCCTCTCCAGTGCTATCAGTGTGGCCTTTTTGGCCACACAGCTGAGAGATGCACAAAAAACAAAGTGTGCCTGAGATGTGGACTGGTACCCCATGAGGGTGGCTGTGCTCCCCACTGTGTTAACTGCGGGAAGGAACACTCCTGCCAGGATCATGTGTGTGTTCGGTGGATGAAGGAGAAAGAGATCTGTCGGATCAAGGTGGAGGAGGAGATCTCTTTCTCTGCTGCACGAAAACTCTATGATGACAGGCATGAGCCTCCCCCAATACTTCGGTCATATGCCAACACAGTCCGTACCCCCAGTGCTGCCAATGATGATGAGCTAAAGGAAAAAGTGACAAAGTTAGAGTCAAAGATGAGTGAAATGGTGGCACTGCTGGAAAGACTGCTGACGCAACGTTCAACCAGTAGTACCTGCCAGATCAGTGGTAGTGACGGCTCTACTCTGGGTGGACGGCTAAGTGGAAAAGATGGTGATGGTCAGGAGTCGCAAAACACAATGGAGACCCTCAGTATTCACAACAGACAAAGTGACGAGGATGACATGGACGATTTGACTCAGGCCCTGGACGCTTCCCTCCCTTCTGAGGTTGAGGGAAACAAAAGAAAACCCACTCAGCCCCGCAACAGTGCTTCATCCCATGGTTCCACAGCCCCGCAAGGGAGCAGTGGCACTGGAGACGATGCTGGGCCATTTAAGCCCGCAAAGAAAGACAAAAGCAACAAAGGAGGAAACAAAAACAAACAAAAACAGCTCATGCTTTCAGATGAGATCTCCCCATCACCCCCTATACTCAGGCCTACCAAACCCAATGATAGGACAGGAGTGAGCAGAGACAGATCCACATCTCTGCCACGGAAGTCGTGGACGGATCCGCCCAAGTCTGCACAGGGAACGTAGACAGCACACCTGTGTGTGATCATACCCTAACTTAAAAAAAAAACAAAAAAAACAAAAAAACAACAACAACAAAAAACAAAACAAAAAAGAAACTAACAAGGTACTAACAATGGCATGGAATGTTATGCAATGGAATTGTCGAGGCTTAATTTCTAAATGGGCTGAAGTTAAACCTCTTCTTATTGAGAAAGCGTGTGAAGTGATTTGTCTTCAAGAGACTCATTTCCTCTCCACAGATGAATATGATTTTTGTATTCCCAACTATACACTGTATAACGGATACTCACCTTCCAACAGTCGTTGTGGTGGTGTATGTATCTATGTTGGCAATTCTTTTCCACATTATGAGGTCCCTTTAACTACAGCACTGCAAGCTATTGCGTGTTGTGTGAAAGTGGGTCGCCAACGTATATGTGTTTGTTCCTTGTACTTACCTCCTAACCCACAGGTTACAACTACTGAGATTGACAATCTCGTAGGGCAATTACCCGAGCCTTTTATTATTTGCACTGATGCCAATGCGAGACATTATATGTGGGGATCGGATCGCTGTGATGCCAGAGGGAATTCAATTGAAAGTATCATAAGGAACAATGCTCTGACCCTCCTGAATGATGGCTGTCCCACACGCATGGACGAGTACACAGGACTCTGGTCACACATTGATATTACTATCACCAGCAGTGAAATAGGACAATATATGGAGTGGAGGACTGATTCAGATCTCCATGCCAGTGACCATTGTCCCATATATGCTTCTTATGATGTACAATTACAATCTGCGTTTATTGAGCCTGGGCGGGACATATTTGCAGGATGGAACTTAAATAAGGCCAAGTGGTGTGAATTTACTGACCAGTGTAATTTTGACAACATTGATGTGACTGACATGAATGCGAGCTATCAAACTATGGTGGAGAAACTTCTGTCGACTGCACGTGAAACTATTCCACAGAAAACAGGTCCTCCCAAATATAGCTGTCCATGGTGGAATGAGGATTGTAAGGAAGCAATCCGTGCTAGAAAAACGGCATTGAACCGTTTTCGACGTAATCGAACCACTGCACTTCTAATGGCATACAAGGAGGCCAAGGCTAGGGCCAGGAGAATTATTCGCCAAGCGAAAAAGGAGTCGTGGGAGAAACTTTTACACCTGTTCAATGTGAACACACCACTGCAACAACTATGGGGAATAATAAGGAAATTTACCCGCAAAGAAAGATACAGGAAGTCGTTACCCGTGCTCAAGGTTGGAGACGAGGTGATTGATGACCAGCTGGAAGTGGGAAATGTTTTAGGACAATTTTATTCTGATCTATCATCTTCCCTACACTACAGACCAAGGTTTATCGAGCACGAGAGGGAGATGAGCGCTCATCTTCCCTCTTTCGTGTCTCAGAACGAGGAAGTATACAATGATCTATTCTCACTGCCTGAGTTAAAAGAAGCGATCTTTAAGAGTGGAAATACCTCAATGGGACCTGATAACCTCCATTATGCGTTTTTTAAACATCTCTCCCAGGAACAATTGGTACATGTGCTGAACATGATAAACTGCATATGGTGTGCTGAGGAAATACCGCAACAGTGGAAACACTCTATTATAATACCAATTCTTAAACCGGGCAAGCCAAAAGACGAGCCTGCATCCTACCGACCCATACAGCTTACCTCCTGTTTTAGCAAGATCATGGAACGGATGGTGACAAAGAGACTTACCTGGTATGTTGAACAGAACAGTATCTTATCTGAATTCCAGTGTGCGTTCCGGAAGGGAAGGAATACAGCTGACCATTTAACTCGATTGGAATCCGAGGTGCGGAAAGGATTCTTTTATCACCAGTATACATTGGCGGTGTTTCTAGATTTACAAAGTGCATATAACCTCACATCAAAAGTGGCCATCCTCCATCGTATGCATACCATTGGACTCCGCGGAAGGCTTATGCACTTTGTTAAATCTTACCTTGAGGAACGAACGTTCCAAGTTAAAAATGGCGTGCTCTCAAACACTTTCACTCAGGAGAATGGACTCGTACAGGGAGGCGTGATCTCCCCGCTCTTGTTCAACCTGATGATTAATGATATTTTTGCCAATATTCCTGAACATGTCTCATATGCCCTATACGCGGACGATTGCTCCATGTGGGTACGAGGTCGGCGGATTTTGCCTCTAATTGAAAAAATGCAGACAGCTCTGAACAGTGTCACCGAATGGACCGATCGTTGGGGGTTTGTCTTCTCCCCAAATAAGTGTAATGCCGTCATATTTAGGCGCTATATGAAAGAACAAGAACTGACTTATTTGCCATCACTGAAGGTTTATGACCAGCCACTCCCTTACTGTGATGATGTGAAGTTTCTGGGTGTTATTTTTGACTCCAGATTGAATCTTACTAAACATGTGCAGTATGTTAAGGGTAAAGCTACTAAACGGATATCTGTCTTAAAATGCTTGGCCGGACGAAGCTGTGGGGCGGACCGGAGTGTATTGATACGCATGTATAAATCCATGATACGACCTATTCTTGATTATGCCTGCCAGATTCTAGATGGACCTCAGAACAAGGTGGTAGAATCACTTGACTCCATACAAAATCAGTGCCTTAGGATAGCAACCGGAGCTCTCCGTACATCACCGATCTTACCACTGCTGGTTGAGACTGATGTTCTTCCGCTGAGACTTCGGCGATGCGAACTAACTCTGAGATTTTGTCTTAAAGTTAAAAGCCGAGATACTCACCCGTGTAGACATCTTATATTGAGACATGCAGCTTTGCAC